TTCCATGGTGTACATGCCCCCAGCTCCATCAGTGTTGCTGGAAAGGACATGATTTCATTCCTTTTTTACGACTGTGTAGTATTCCATGGTGTACACGCACCACCTTTTCTTTATCCAGTCATTTGTTGATGGACACTCAGGTTGATTCCCTGACTTTGCTATTGGATACTCTTAGGAGTCTGTCAGAGCTGATTTTGCCCCCATTGCAATGTGTGGTGGTATCGTCCCACGTCACTGAATATTTTCATATTTCATGAATAAATCATGATTTCTAGTGACTGGATAACATCCCTCCTATGACTGCGTCCTGCTGCTGTTTCTGGCCTCCTGCCTATGTCTCCTACTGGTGGGCCTTTAGGATGTTTCCAGGACACTGTTAGAAGAATGCAGGATTATCTCCTTAGGACAAATTCCCCAGAAGTGAAATTACTAGAGCGGCAGGTTTTGATACACGCTGTCAGATTCCTGCCCAGAAAGGATAGAGCTTGTTTGGTCACTCAGACTCTTGGCCAGGGTTTCTTGGGAGGCAGCTGCCATCATGGGGAAGAGCTCGCACGTGCGGGGCACAGGCCTTGATTTCAGGGTCGGATTCCACTGACTGCCTCAGTCATCTGGGACTGGTTGCTTAGCTGCTCAGACCCTCTATTTCCTCACCTGCGAAAAAAAGCGACGGACCATTGAACTCATAGCTGGTTTGTGGGCCTTAAATGAGACCTGAGATGTGCTTAATAAATGTTCATTTCCTTCCCTCTGAATGAAATGAGCCTAGGGCCTGAGGAGGGCCTATCGCAAAGTCCTTAGATGTCCTTGCGTAAGGTATTTTCTGTTGCAGTTTATAAATTCCATTTTAATAGATGCACATGGGTGTCACTGACCTTTTCATTTGGTTCTCTGGTGTCTCAGGGAACGTATGGCTTGGGCACAGCAAAGAAGGGCAAAGAAAGAAAACTGACATTTTCTGCTCCTGAAATTTGAGCGGAGAGGTAACGTGTGCAGTGTGCTGTGGAGAGCACGCTGGGAGGCGGTGGAGGGGCAGTGAGAGGAGGTGGCAAGGCCTGCAGGTGTGTGGCTACCCCTGCTCTTCAGCAAATCTCTCGGTTCCTGGGCATTCACACGATGTGGCAGCGCCTCCCTTTGGGGGCTTTGTCTCAGTGTGGAGTGGTGTCTTGTTGGGGCATTGGGCCACTCTGTACTGGGCATGACCTGCATGCTGGGCTTCCATGGGGACAGAGTACTGAAGAGGCTCCTGAGGGGGCCTGCTGCTGACAGAGGGCAGGTCACATGCCCAGAGCAGGTGAAAGCTAGTGGCAGAGGCAAGCTGCAAGCTCAATCCAGCTCACTGAACGGGGTGGAATTGCCACCGTGGGCCTTGTGGGGTGTGGCCAGCTCGTGCTGCTGGGCAGAGAGTGCTGCTGGCTGGGACAGTCCTTAGAGACTTCAAGGGCCCAGTCCCTGTCCCTTTAGTAATCCACTCTGCTGCAGGGGCCCCTGCACCACCTCCCAGGACACAGGGGACTCTCCACCAGCTAATTGGTCCTCTCGCTGGGAGAAGGCCAAGTTGTTGGCAGGAGCACAGTGGGCTGCAGACTCTAATTGCACAAAGGGCAAATGTATGTAAACTACCTTCAGCGCACTGTGTGATTATCATCTGACCTCTCCTCTGAACTCACTGCTCTCTTCTGTCATCATCAAATGTGTTTGTTGTGCTTTATTATTTAAACTGTAGGCCATTTGAGTAGAATTCTATATACAGTTGCCATTTGGAAAACAGAAAAGCAAACTAGGACTTCTTCAGAACCATCTTCAGAAGTCGCCCTTGCTGCTGCCTGTTCCTGGGTTTTAGCAACATAGAATCATACCTGCCACCCTGAGCCCTCTGTCAACACTCCAGATATTGCCTGGAAACTGCTGACTGTACCGGCTGCAGTTGGCAGCCATCAGACTTGGGAGGAACTTGAGTCAGGTGGCATTGTGATGCCGGTTGCAGGAGTCTATTATTTTGAAGTGGCAGCTGCAGGTAATCAGAGAGGAGCCACCAGGGCAAGTGGCTTTGTCACGTGGGGCGGCTGGGGAGCCGGCTGGGCAGGTTCAGTGGGTGATTTCTTCTGGGAAGGCGTGGCCCCTGCCCCTGCCAGGTGTGGGCTCCAGGGGGAGGGCTGGAAATCCCATCAGTGGGACAATGAGTGGGGCAAGCAGATCCCTGGTAAAGGAGCACTGGGACGGCCCCAGGAAAGCAGTTAATAAAGCATATCAAGGACCTGAGGTAACACGATGAGCCTTTAAGGAAAAGTGAAAAGAAAACTGAAACCGAGGAGCAAGTGTGCGGGGCAGAGACGCGCGTGCCTCCCACAGGGTCCCTCGCACCGAGATAGCAAGTGGACGTCAAGGCGAGGCAGGAGGGGCCATGTGGTTTTGGTCCTGGAATGAGAGAGGAGAGCCCTGGGCCTGGGTGTGTCTGGCTCAGAAGCTGTTTCCGAGTTTCTCAGCATTCTTCTTTCTCCCTGAGCCCTGCCCTTCCTCAGATGGGGAATGCAGCCTCACCTGCCATTGCCCTTTGCCTGCTGCCATGGTGAGCACAATCAACAAAGCCCAAGCAACTCAGCGGGGATGCCAATCACAGGGAGGCAAGTCCAGCTCCCTACAGAGCCAGGCCACCCCCATCCCGGCCTTCAGGGCTTGGAGTGGAAGGCGGAAGTGCATGTGTTTCTTAGACGGCCTTTTCTGTTGTGTGCCTGTGCACCCGCCCAAGGAGCTCACGGGGCACAGGAGGGCTGGGCTTGGCAGAAGCCCCACTTCCTCCTGGCCCGTGGGTGCTTCTGTGAGAGATGGGGACAAGGGCTCTTGATCAGCAACCTGTGGTGACCTGTGGGCCCTAGACCACTCAGAGGACAGGGAGGCCCACTCTTCTCCCTGCTGCTAGCTTCCAGGAGGATGAGAGAGCTGGAGGCTCACAGCACACTCAGGAGGATGGCTGCCTTTTACCAGTGCATCAGGCCTGACCCCAGGTGGGCCCTCTGAGAGCAAAGAGGTGGTGGGGGAGAGACGCGAGGGAGGGGAGGCCAGGCCGTGACCACCTATGGGTGGCCACCATCCCCTGAGGCCTATGGGTAAACCTGCAGCGTCTGTTACCTTATGTTCTAGAATGTTTATGACTTCCTTCCTTACATACTCTTTATCTCCTTGAGTTGTGTAAATTCTGGAGCAAAATAAGGATTTTCCTTGTTTCCTTTATGACACACACACATATTCATAAAGAGAAAGGGAGAGGGAAAGGGAAGGAGGGCTGGGTGAGCAGAGTGTGCCATTCTTACCATACCGCGCTTACAGTTGGGATCTCCATGGCATAGTCGGTATGCTTTGAGTGGAGGGAAGGCAGCAGAGGTCAAAGTTTACAGGTATTGTAATTATGCCACTACCTACAGCCCAGCACCAAAGGACTTGTGCTCAACTGATAGCCACAGCCTTGGGAGACGCTCTGCCTGAGCTCCTGCACAGCCAAAGCCGGAGCCCTGCACAGAAACATCTTGTCCTGCTATAGGTAACCCTATCCCTGGAAGGTGTTTGGCTCTCAGTGAATTTAAAAATTTTTTTTTATTTTTTATTTTTTTGAGATGGAGTCTCGCTCTGTCGCCCAGGCTGGAGTGCAGTGGTGCCATCTCCACTCACTGAAAGCTCCACCGCCTCCCAGGTTCATGCCATTCTCCTGCCTCAGCCTCCCGAGAAGCTGGGACTACAGGCGCCCGCCACCACGCCCGGCTAATTTTTTT